TGAGGACCTCTTTAGGTATTGGTGGGATGTCAAGCGTTTCCCAGATTGGGTGCTGAGGGATGGAGTTGATGGTGTCATCAGTCACACTCGATTTTAGATTTAGAATCTTTTGGTACTGTTTCTTCCAGTGCTTTTTGATGGATTCATTATCTTTAAGAAAGGTACTACCATCTCTGGATCTCAGCGGTGCGAGGCCACATGAGCTTGGTCCGTACAAAGGCTTTGTCTCTCAGAAAAAGTTCTGCATATCATGTCTGTCGATGAATGCTTGGATTTCTTTTGATTTGTCCTCCCACCATTTGCATTTGATTTCTCGGAACCTCCTTTGAACTTCAGTTTTGAGCTGATAGAGAGAGCTCCGCTTCTGACTGGATGATGGATGGTTTTGCCAGTTGCAGAAAGCTTTTCTCTTCTGGTCCAAAAGGGCTGTGATCTCAATATTGTTGTCGTCAAACCAGTTCTGATGGCAGCAGGTAGCAAGGCCAATGGATTCCTCGCAGACCTCATGGATGGTCTGTTTTAGGGCTTCCCAGGCTTCTTTGACATGTGTGTTGTCATTTCCAGGTACGTATATGGTCAGTTTTTCACTGAGGAGTGCTTGGTGCACTGAGGATTGAAGTCTTTGGATGTTATATTGCCCTCTGTGTGATTTGGATTGCTTTCTATGTTTTGGTGCAATCCTGATGGACACGACTGACCTCACCAGGTGGTGGTCAGTCCAGCAATCATTGGGTCCTCTCATGACATGGGTGATTTGGACAAATTATGTAGGTATTCAAAATAGGGATGTATATATCATGTAAAAAGTTAACCATTTAAATGATTAAAATTATATCATTTAACTGGTTAACTGATGTTGCTCCCACCAGCGTGGCGCAGCCAGGGCTGGGACTGAGGTCGGATGGCTGACTGGCACAGGACTGCTGGGGCTGGGGTCGGCTGGCTAGCTGGCACAGGGCAGCCAGGGCTGGGGTCGCTTTGGCCGGCTGGCATCTCCAGGGCTGGGGTCCCTCCAACTGAGGCTGAGGTCACTCTGGCTGGTATGGGGAGGCCGGGGTTGGGGCTGCTATGGCCAGCACAGGGCTGGGGCTGCTCCACCTGGTTGGCCCAGGGCTGGGGCTGCTCTGGCTGGTGTGGGGCTGGGGCTGCTCTGGCCAGCACAGAGTTGGGGCTGCTCTGGCTGGTTGGCCCAGGACTGGGGCTGCTCCGGCCGGTATGCAGGGGGTTAACGGTTAAGGTCAATTAATGGTAAGCCTAATGCTTACCAGTTAATCGGTTAACCATTTAACATTTTACATCCCTAATTCAAAACATGATTTTTGTGTTGCTTGGCTGCTCCATTAGGTTTCTTGAACTTTGTTTAACTTTCCTGATTGGAGAAAAATAAATGATGGCATCTTCAAAAGGACAGCTACTTTGACACCAGAATGTAGGATAACTCACAGTGAATTGTGTAGATCTGTGATCCTCCTTCTCCTTTGTCTATGAAGAAGGAAACAGTTATCAGTGTTGACATTTAAAGTATCACCACTGGGCATCTGAGTTAACTCCCTCTGAGATTCAGGAGGCAGGTCACATCTCTCAGAGCTATTTTTCCGGTTCTTTGCAGACTCACCTCTGCATCAGTTACATTTGGTTCACATTTTTTCATGGTTGAGATTTTCTCCTCAACCCATAACAGTGGGTTTTTTATTATGATGATAAGGAGAATTATAATTAAGTTCCACTATAAAACCCCAGCCATATCAATTAATCATTGATATCCAAAGTAAATTGGTGATATTGTTCCATTGAATTAATATCATTTTTATTCACTTTTAACATCCTAGTTTAGTGTAACTGATTTGTTTTCTATGACTGATTTGTGATCTCATTGTAGCATATAATGCCGTGTATGTAGTGCACACTGTAATGTACTTTGTACATATATAATATCATACATGATTATTATATCCTCATACAGTTTTGTCCTCCAGTCATTTGCTCTTCTACCTCTCTTTATCACTAAACCTCATGGTCCTGGCATAGGACGTGGTATTTAACAGACTGGAGTTGGCGATAGTATTATCAGCAAAAGTTACCTCAAATTAGAATACAATAAAGCAAGCCTTTTGTTTTGTTTTTAAATTTTGATCTGTGATCATATGAATTTAAGAGTCTTTTTCATGCAACCACTTGAATAATTTTATAATGAGATTTCATCCAACAGTGCTATAATTGTTACTTTAGAGTAGAAGGAATCCAAGATTACCATTGACTATTATAAACTAGGGCTGTCGATTCATCGCAGTCAACTCACGTGATAAACTCAGAAAAAATTAATCGTGATTAAAAAAATAATCACAATTAACCGCACGGTTAAACAATATAATATCAATGGAAAATTATTACATATTTTGGGTGTTTTTCTACATTTTCAAATATATTGATTTAAATTACAACACAGAATGCAAAGTGGACAGTGCTCACTTTGTATTATTATTTTTATTACAAATATTTGCACTGTAAAAATGATAAAAGAAATAGTATTTTTCAATTCACCTCATACAAGTACTGTAGTGCAATCTCTTTATTGTGAAAAATGTAACTTACAAATGTAGATTTTTTTTGCCACATAACCGCACTTGAAAACAAAACAATGTAAATCTTTAGAGCCTATAAGTCCACTCAGTCCTACTTCTTGTTCAGCCAATCGCTAAGACAAACAAGTTTGTTTACATTTACGGGAGATACAGCTACCTGCTTCTTCAGGGCCGGTGGAAGGATGTTTCGCGCCCTAGGCGAAACTTCCACCTTGTCCCCGAGCCACTGCCGTGAGGTGCCCCCCCCATGGCAGCTCCCCCCCCTGCACTGAGGCACCCCCCCTGTGGCAGCTCCCCACCACTCACCCTGAGGCACCCCCCCAGCTCACCCCTGCCCCGCCTCCTCCCCAGCACGCCATCGCTGCTTCACTTCTCCCGCCTCCCAGGCTTGCGGCCAGGGCCGGCTCTAACTTTTTTGCTGCCACAAGCAGCAAAAAAAAGTGCTGCCCCGCCGAGCCCTGCCACACCGAGCACCGCGCCGCCGGAACCACCCCCACCGAGTGCTGCGCCCCGCCCCGCGCCGCCTCCCCGCCGGGCGCCGCGCTGT